AGATTATTTAGAAATGATATGGGTACATGTTTGCTATTTTGTTGAGTTTAAAAAGACTAAAGAAGGCAAATGAATATGGAGTTATGTAGGGAATATTGAAGAAAATTTGGATATTCTTTATGATCCAACTAGCAAGGTGATACGACCGTTGACACGAAGAGGAAGTAGACGTCCACCAAAAAAAGGAAACAATTAGCCAGAGAGATGCACAAGTCTCATAAGTGTAGTAAGTGTTTGAAAATTGGGCTTAACCGTATCACATGTACAAATCATGTACCACTCAGCGAGAGACATGAACGATGAAGACAAGACGACACATATGAGGCTTTTATAGTGTCATGATATCCCCTTTTTGTAAAATTGAAAAATGATGGTGGTATTATATTACGATGTACTACTTTTATAATTTTGAAAAGAAAACTACTTATAATGTTTGGAACGAGTGATTGTGTCATTGTCTTAGACTCGATGAAACCAGAACGGCAATTATGATTTTTTTTTTGTTACACTAAAACGTCATTGGTGCTGTACGACACTTATGCTGTTTTCAGAACAGTAACGACAGTTGTGTCGTTTTCTTTTTCATGTCGAATAATTATTGAGCATATCTACCCTACGTTGTAAGAGATATGTCCATCTTACAACTTAAATGAGTTCATCTAATCGAATATCGTGGCTCGGATGGGTCGGGGCACTCTGTACAAGTGTTTTCAAGCAGAACGGCACAAGTGTCGTTTTATCGACAGTAACGGCACTTGTGCCCTCTCATGGAAATTTATTTACACAACATAACGATACTTGTGCCGTTCTAGCCTAACGACCTCACGTATTGGACTCACTAACTTAAAAAGGTTGAAAATGTTGATTATGTGACAACTAACAGTGGAATTGATGTAGAATATATGGTATTTAAAGGTAAAATCACACAAGCCTACATTTATTTTGTTGGAAAATATAAGCATTGAGCATATCTTTCCTACGTTGTACGAGGCATGTCCATCCTAAAACTTAAATGAGTTCATCTAATGAGTTCATTGTGGATCGGATGGGTCGTGACGCTCTGTACAGGTGTTTCTAGGCAGAACGGTACAAGTGCCGTTAAATGACACTTGTGTCGTTTTGTTGATTT